CGGGGGAGAGACTCAACTCCTTCACCCCCGGAAATCCAAAGAAGAACTGCCAGGGGGAGAGCCCTGCTTTTACCCTGTGTTCTCGGAGGTGGATCCCATTTGCCCAGTGGTTAGGCCAGATGGCAATATTCAAAACTGACCACTCATTGGCCCCATCCACACAGCATCCCAGAAATCCTGTTTCCGGGTCAAACCATGACAGTAAGAAAGAAGAATCAAGATTTTTAAATCTTATTAATTTGCTTGTCCCTGTCCTTAATAGGCCTATTTAATTTCCCATGTATTCAGCAAAAGCAATACAGGAAGGATATTTGTTTAATAGAAAAGGAGAAGGTGCATTTTTTCAGATATTTCCATACAAAAAGATTTCTTCAATTATTGAAAAAGGAACAGGAGTGTAGGGCAGAAGGTTTGGGGTCTGTTTGTTTTAAAATTTGAATACATTTTTTACTACTTTTAATTTTAAATATCTCAGCAACATGAGAACTCCATCTGTCAATTTGGAATCACAAAGGAACAGGGAGCAAAGTTAGAAAGGAATATTTAAAGCCAAAACAGTACAAAGCATTACTGAATTTCTTTGTAACAGCTACAAAAGTTAAGATTTAAAGTTTGTTCAGGAAGTTTATGCTGACAAAAATCACTTTCACATATGGTAGTTGAGAGAAGTGGAGGGCACGGATGGTTTCAGTAGAGTAAATCACTTAGGCCAGTACATCTAAAAAGCTGTTTGTCTACACCAAACATTTGGAAATGTAAACAGCTACAAAAATAAAGTACATATGTAACATTATGCCTCAGGGGAACTTTTATTCTAAGTCTGTGTTTAGCTAACAAAGGTAACATGAGTATATAGTTGGAGAGATCTAATGATCTAATGAGTTTTGTTTAAATGCTGGTCCTCTGCCCAAACATACCTTGTTACTCTGCTAGCTATACAGTGTGCAATATTTCATTAAAATGTTTTTCAGAGCACAGGGTCATATTATTACTAATGCACAGTAAATCTCTCGCTTTATCTCTTTTGTAATCCTAGTGAGAAATACTGTCACATCTCTAAAACCTTTGTGGTGTAAGTCTCAGTTTCTCTGCATGCTTATGTTTAGAGTGAGAAAGACTGAGCAGGTTTTGAGGTGACAGACATAGCAAGTGCAGGTAGGTAATTCTGGCTGCCCACAGGGCTAAATGCAACCCTAGGAAACACTTCTCAGCTGGGAATTTGGGCTCTTGGTTCAAAATTCAGACAGTAATCAAGAGCATCTACTTCTAACATTGCCTAAGTCTCCAGTTTCTTGAGGCAGAAATTGACTGAGTGCTTAAACACAGATTTAGCTGCCCTGTTGAGAAGATAATGTTCTTCTTCCAACTGAGTTCTCTTGTTAAATGACTTTAGACAGATAGCTGCCCAATTCTGTTTAAATCCCTAAAGAAGTCTGCGAAGCAGGTCATTGTGCTGGTCCGCACAGACAGCTGCATCAGGCAGTGGGTGGTAGAAAGCTGCAGAACAAAGTGACTTTTACAAATATTTTGGTGCCAATTTTCCTCAGCAGACCCATCTTGTTCTGAAATAATTTGACTCATACACGGGGAGATGGGCTTGAGTGTTAGGATTGTGGGATATCAGAGATGTGTAAACTCATCCCTTGGCTCGAAGTTATGCTATCACACACCGGAAAAAGATTCCCAGTAAGGAGAGCTAGCCAAAGAGATGAGGATGTAAAACACAGACAGGCATGAGGTCTGGAGCTGAGTTCTTCTCTCTTCTATGAGACAAGCAAGTTATCCTTATTCACTTGCCTTCTTTCCCTCTGACTCTTAAATTCTCAGCTGCAATTTTCGACAGATTCAATCAGAGAGATGAAGAGTCTTCCCAATATTTTTCACATATTACAGCCCTGTACTAAGGGCATTCAGGACATGTCAAGGTCAAATCGTCTGAGTGAGAAACGCCCATGATTTAATTCTCTCTTAATATTTTTTCAGTATAGAAGTGGATTAAATATAGGAACAGTTCTCATTTGGAGGCCATGACAATGCTTAATGGCTGAGCTAACCGTACTTCAAACAAGTCCAGAGGAACCTTTTAAACTCCAGCGTTTAAAAGAAAAGAAAAAATAGAGTGTTGCAATGACAAGCAAAAGGAAGTGTCCTTAATAAAGTGCTTATTATATCTTCTGAGAAAATGTACCTTACTGATCTGTTGTCAGAGCACAGCAATATGGCATTTATTTCCTCTCTACCAAGTGTCAGGGACAGACCATCAGCTGTGAACACCAAAATCAGTGAAGTGTATGAGTTTAAAATTCATCTAAGACTTTGGTTCTTTATTAGAAATGTTATTAGAGCTCTCTTATTTGCAGTTTTCTTTTAGAAGACCTGGCAACTTGGGGTTAACATTCTGTCAAAAAAAATATCATTTTCCCTCTTCCACCATCGTCCTTTGCAGAAGCAGCCTGACTTGCTGTACAAATGTCATTAGTTCCACAGGGAGCCTCAGACCTTTGAATGTCGCAGAACAGTCTATTATTTAGTACTGCTATAAGATAATCTTTTCAACTGCTGTTTTCTAGTGAGAAATCTTAAAGATGAACCTATAAAGAAAAGATACAAGTTTTCAGTCACTCAGGAATTCTGACTTTTACCTTTATCCATCGGGACTTTGATTTTTAGACACAGATATCAAGCTTAAAAAACACATGCTACCACTGACAAGTTTCATAAAGATTTGTTTCTTTTTTCTTTTCTTCCAAATTTTACAATTCTAAAACCACCTTGTGCCTTCATCTGTCAATATTTTCTGGGATGAGTGTTACGAAGAACAGTTATATATACATTCTTAACACAAAGTTGTAAGCAGTGAAAAATGTAAGCTGAAACAGAAGGATTTCAAAATATAATCATATTTCCTTTTGTCCTAAATAATGCAATCTATGTGTGAGAATTTCAAGGTTAATTTTGTCAGCAACAAATGTTCTTTTTATACGATGTGTTGTAGCAACTTGTTGAGTTGAAGTTGCCTTTTGCAGACAATAAACTCTGGACATATCTATACATGTGCAGTTTTTTCTCCGACAAGTTCCCCAAAGGGCCCATGAAAGCAAAAAATAGTGAATAATATTCATAAGGCATGGTTCGTAAGACTCTCTCAGGTGTAACTGGTTTGGGTGCTGAAGTGAGAAGCAGTGTGGCACATGGCAGCTCAGACATATTTTCTCTGATGCAGGGCTGAACACAGAATATTGTCTCTCCAAGCACAGTCCAGAATAAACCAAAATGTTCCAGTTTACATGAGAGTTTGGAGCAGGTCCATGTGCACCACGTTGCCCCAGCTCTCCAGCTGCCACAGCTCAGTGTTGCTGCTGCCCCCCACTCTGCCAGTGCCCAGTGCTCTCAGTGGAGCCAAGGAGGCAGCCGGGAAAGCCAGAGCAAAAGGAGACAGTGCCCTGTGTCCGTACCACTTCTCATAGCAACATGGATATTTACAGGAGATAGCCATCAAAAAATACCATGCATGTAATCTCTATGGAGAACAGGAAATATGTTTTCTTCAGTAATATTTTGCTTTTAAATTTTGAATGTGAGTTTTAATAAATTTTCAAGCAAAGTACCAGAGAATGCTACATGCTGTTGGGATCCATGTTTTCAATAGGATGCAGTCTCTCTCAATACTACTTGCCTTTATTTTAAGAATTTTAATATTGTCATAAAGGAAGTTACAATTCTTATTAAAGAGACTGTGTCCTACACAGCAAGATCTACAGAAAATCATGATATCAAATAGCCAGACCAAATTATCATCTGGCCTACTGGTTTTGTTATATCTATCTCTGTACATCTTGTTATTATAAGTGGAAAATCATCTAAACTCAGAATTTTTATTGTGTGTGGGAAAAATAAAATTCAATGCCTAATGCAATTCATAAATCAAAAATCTTGCTAGCAATATATTCTCTTTTACATCTGAGTAATGACAAGTTTTGCTACTGCTTTAAAAATAGATGAAAAAGATTGCACTAATATTTCAATAATCTAATAATGAAAATTAAAAATCAATGTAGAGTGATTTATTTTTATTATTTTTCCTAATGAACTTAAGACTATTATGGAATTTATTCTAGTCAAATACATGAACTATTGATTTTGTTTGCTTGTTTGTTTGATTTTGATAAAATAATTTTTCCAGAATACTTACTGTAGTTCATTTCCAGAATAAAGTAAATATTTGCACATTTTACTTTGAGATCTCAAAGTGTTCTTCTGGATTTGAAAGCAGTTTTCCTGCGTTATGTTGAGTATGTCAAATGAACAAATAGTAAAGCACCACACTATAGTTTGACAAAACTGGAAAACTCACTTTTGGGTAAATTTATTTTCCTACAAAGACAGACTTCTTCACTTGAGATATCAGGACATACAGTATTACATGGATCTCTGCCTCCTTGCTTTGTAAATCACTGGGTTTCTACTTCTTTATATAGTGGCAATCAAAAAACAATGCCATCTGAAATGCAAATTTGCATTTAATCTAATTTAGTGAAACATTTTACCTGCTCAGTCAAAATGCATTTATTAGAATTAGCAGCTTCCACAAGGGACATGCTTATAATAATATGTGAAGTTTCAATAAGTCCCTTTATACCTAGGCCCTGGTAGTTTTGATGTATTCACTGAGCAGTGCAAACAAGGAATGCATTGCGTCATCAGAACAGATTCTCTAGCAGGTCTACAGTGTCCTGGAAAGGTATGTATTGTTTTATGGTAAAAAAAAAAAAATAAACAACAAAAAAACCAAAACACAAAACGAAAGAAACAACAGCAACAACAACAAAACCCCAAAAAACAGGAAGATGTGAATCTTTTCCTTACAACTACCAAAACAAAATTGCCTTAACCACTTTTCTGGGCCTATTATTATTACACATCTTTCATATATCCAATTGAAGATTAAGTTTCATTACAGGTAATAGATTGTGTTTAACTGCATGAAAAATAAAAAAGAACCCTAAGAGGCAATGTGTGACAGTTCACAGCCTTGTCATCTTAATATGAATCATTGTGGTGCTTCCTGCAGGCTTGAAACACTACTTACACTTTATTCAACATGAAACTACAATCAATTTGAATGGCAGCGAAAACCTTGTGTAAAATTGTTACTACTTATAAAGTGGCAGTTTGATTTTAAAGTGATACTATATGTTTTTAAAGAGCTCAATAACTATGAGTTTCATATGATCTTGACTGTGTTTTGTTTGTTTTTTCTAGGAGTGAGCCATTGTCAGCTTTATTCACTTTTTAGACTCAATAAACAGACAGTTTTTACTGAGTGATAGAATAAGAGGGAAGACAACCTCAAACATGCAAACCAATTTCTGTCTTTTTAGATTTACTAATGAGCATATTTTGCTATTCTATGCCCTCCTAATTGTGGAGTTGCTGAAGATCCTATTTGCTTCTGCATTGATTGGCTTGTAGGTCGCATTTTTTGTTATCCTTTATTATTCCATTGTAACCTCTTATTTGTGCTCCCTTGTTGTAATTTAGCATTTTTAAAGACTGCACTTTGATTTTCTGTCACCAGGGATAACATGTTCGGTTGCTATTCTCATATTTTAAAAAGTATATTCCTAAATTACTCTGCCTCAGACAGATGTCTGTAGAACTAATTACGTCATATAAAAAGAGGTTTAGTTCATCAGAGAGATTTGTTCTGTTTGAGTTTTACCATTAAGTTCATCTAACTATCTATGTGTTTTTGAAATTTTAAGGTATATTTCTACATGATAAAGAATAAATATATTTTTCAAATAGAAGAAACCTGAAAAAAATACTGAAAAAAATAGTATTTCCTAAATCATTATAAATGCATAAAGCAAATTTCTGAATTACTGTCATCCTTCATTGTGCTAAATTTTCTATTTGGAGTGAGCTAGGGAGGTTTATTTTATAAAGTATTCTGTTTCATTTTTTTTACTTGTAATAGATTTGGTGTAATTTACTATTGTACATGGAGTCAAGAGGAGGTATATGATGTGTTTCAAATACAGAAACAGAAAATTATTCTCTGAAGAAGAAATAGCAAAGTCATTTGAAAAAATCAAAACTTTTGTGCCTAATACTCTTGAGAGAGGGACTCCAAGCTTCAATCTTGTCTTGTGTTCTTTGGAAGCAGAAATTTCCCAAAAATCATTGCCTTCCACTTTAAAAGTTTTCTTTCCAAAGAGAAATATTTTGTAATGACCATTTTACAATGTTTTTTAAGATAACTTTATTTTCCAATCTCAACCTCCACTGGTGCAACTTGAGCCTTTTTTACCCTTCTCCTATCACTTGCTATTTGAGAAAAGTGAATAACACTTCCTAGAACTCTGGTGTAAGCAAAACCAGTCCTCTTCTCTGAGCTTCTTCTTACAGATTCTCTTTTTCTTTCTTTGGCTGTATGATCCATCTTTTGTACAACTGAGGAAAACCTGACATTGATGGGCATGCTGGCACAGTCACAAAACGGTATAGAGGGAAAACTTACAGACTTTAGGCAGAAATATAAATTAAAGTATCTATAAGGAGATGACAAAAATACCCAAAAACATTATGAGGTACCAGCACATGGAATACTGATTGAAGATTGGTGTGTTTCAAGGCAGCTATGGCAGAAATGAAAAGGTCAAGGGAAAGGCAATTAAAATGATTAAAAATATCTCGCTTTCAAAGGGATGCCAGCCTACAAGACTGTGATGCTTGTAATACTCTCAGGCTTGCTTGGGGCTAGAGATCACAGAAATTAATCTGTGAAAGAACAGATGAATGACTGGCAACTAGCTAGCATTAATTTCTACAACATCACAAGCAATCTTCAGTTGGAGCTGATCTGGTTTCATTCCTCTTATGTAAGACCGCTGAGCCTGGAGTTTCTTGTCCCCAGAGCAACCGTAGACATCTGTACATATACATGTAGAAAAATAAGTGTTTCAGATGTGTGCAGTTGGAAATTTTCAGTTCTAACAAATAGGGTTATTATTTTTATGAACAAAAAGCAATAAGAAATCATGGAGAATAAGCTGTACAAGTAAGAATTTATTCTGCCCAAACAAGTAGTGTTACATGTGGGAAATATTCATAAATCAGTATTGATTACACTTTTGCCTCTGACTAATTAGATCTACACACTTTCAGTTAAAATGTCATGAGTGTAACAGATAAAAGCACCCTCCAGGAGTTCAGGAATTTACTTCATTATGTTGCCTGTCCAATGAAAATTTCTTTTTTTGGAGAAGCAAACTCTACTGCCTTAGGTGATAAAGCAGCATTACCATACTCCATTTTGTAACATTATGCAGACCATTATTCAAATCAAATTATTGAATGGGTTAAAACCATCATCATTAAACATTAAAATACTACTGAGGCTCCCAGGTGTGAAAAGAAGAATAATGGAGGAAAAAAAAAAAGAAGAAAACACTTATTCATGGTGAACTGTGACTGACTCAGCATGCCTTTGAAGAGTTTCTTTGTTTAGGGAGGGAACTTGATTTGAGATATCTAGCTGATTGAAACATTTCTCTTTCCATTTTTTGTAAATTTTAAGTGTTTTAGTGTCTTTACTATCCAAATTTTGATTTCTTAACTCACTTCATTGATTCTGACTGCTTTACACTGTTTTTTCTAATTACCATTTGAACTTGAGGATTTGTTTTCATGTCAAAAAACATGTACTTATTGGTGAATTTGAGAATCCCATAAGCATAAATTTGAGAATCCCATAAGCTTAAATTTTAGAATCCCATAATAAATTTTAGAATCCCATAAGCGTACTCTTTTTTTTTTTTTTTTAATAAGTATAAGGAACTTGTTGCTATAACAAAAAGAAAAGGAAAAAGGAAGGTATTGCTATTACCAAAAAGGAAAAAAATAGGATTAGAAGAAAGACAGAGATTAAAATACCATAACATAGGACTGGGAAAGAAAGATAAGAGAAAGAAGAGGGAATATGCAGAAGATTGATTAAATTATAGGGAATGAAAAGTTACTGCTCAGATGGTAGCTAATAGAAGTAACAGTAATAGGCAAAGCTGACGAGTCTACAAAATGGTCTAGTTTGAAACTCTCTTGTAGTAAAGTGATAATCTTTCATTTAGTGAGCTGAATAGTCTAAACTTAGATGGTGTTTTCCCTTTCTGGATGCCAGATGTCTGCCAATGCTTCTCTACCGCTTCCCTTGTCAACTGGATTGGAGGGAGAAAATATAATGAGACACATAAATTGAGATAAGGGCAGGGGGAGATCACTCAGCAGTTACTGTCATAGGCAAAACAGACTTATATTTGGGAAACTAATTTAATTTATTGCCAATTAAATCACAGTAGGATAATGAGAAGTAAAACAAATGCTAAAAACATCTTCCCCTCACCCCTCCCTCCTTCCCAAGCTTAACGTTATTCTCACTTCTCTATCTTCTCTGCCCAATCAGCACAGGAAAATGGGGAATGGGTGTTATGCTTACACATTTCCTCTGATGCTTCTTCCACAGGGGGAGACCTCCTCACACTCTTCCCCTGATGGACCCTTCTGATGGAGGACTGTCTTCCAGGGACTTCTCCAGGGTGAGTCTTTCCCATGGCTTGCAGCTCCTCACAAAGTGCTTCAGCATGGGCCCCTTCCATGGGTGCTGCCTTTCAGGAATGCGCTGCCCCAGCCTGGTGCTGTGACCCACCTCTGTGGCAACTGGGTTCATTGTTAAAGGTGGGTCAAAGCAAAATGATGCCAAATAACCAACATAACAATGAGTATTATTAGAACAAATGCTATCCAGCGCTATTCAATGGATTCTAAAAATAATTAAACAATTAAACAGAGAGTTTTAAGAGGAGAAAGGACAGATTACTGCTTTTGTAATCTAAATGTGATAACTGATCTAGATTATCTTCTTTTAATATCAAAGCAAGATTAAATGAAAATTATTAGTTTTAATCATAAAAAGAACAGTCATTTTAGGACATACAGGAAAAGACTTGGATCATCTTCATAGTTAACCAGCTAGTGTGAGCTGTTTGTGTGTTCTCATGTAAAAACATCTGATATTACATATGGAGTTAGTGATCCAAAATCATGAAGTCAGAGCTGCCTGCAACCTCTGAGTGTCAGGTAAAATGAGATCAAAGTTAGCAACCAAAAATAGGAATATATCACACAATTTTAACAAAAATTGACTTCAATACATGAATCATTTTATGAAATGGTGTAGTAAAGCCCACCACCTCCTTCCCTTCCATTTTGAAGCTATTAAATTGTGAAATTGTGTATCTCTGAATACAACATTTATTTCAGCTGCAGTTCTTAAGCCACATAAAGGAATTACTGGGTGAATTTCATTTCTTGTGACAGAAGCAGTCACACAGACATATGTTCAATAACTTTTCATATGGCCAATTTTCTGAAAATACTTATGTTTGTAGTTGTGAAATAATATCTCAATTTAGCATGAGGTGCTTAAAGCGGTAATTTAAAACTATTTGATCCAAATGCTGCAGTTTTCACAAAATCAGAAGTCTAAAGAAAGCTAACAACAGTGCATGAGACTACATTTTCCCAGTCTCTTGTGGAAAGAATCCTTCAGACAAGTAATTCAGAAGAATAATGCTGTTTCATAATTCTAAATTATGTAAACTACAACAAGTGGTTAACTAGTAGTAATTAGCAACTCGGAGACAGAAAGCAGTTTCTTTGTACTTATTGTTTATTTATATTTCAGCATTAGATACCATTGCTTAAAGCATAAAAGATTATTAAATATAATACTGCTTTCTTCATCTGCATCTTTGATAACATCTGCTTTAAAGATGTAATGCCACTACTCACAGTTTCTGTGGACCAAATTCGTATTTGTACGGGCACAATGCATAAGTGGTTTCTTAGTTCTAGCTTAGTTTAAGGGATTTGATATGTTAAAAGTCATATTGCCATCTCTTATAGCACATTCCTGATCACTGATATGTCATCTGAATCACTGAATAAACCAAGTTACTTATATGCAGAAATATTTAGTCTTAAATTATTATTTTCCTAATAAGTAATTTTCCTTTTCACTAGAGTGCCCAAACAGAAGCTCTTTGCTTCATAACTTTATGAATATAGACTGAAGAAAACCAGATGAATGTTATTTTTAAGTTTATTTTGTGGGGTTGTTACTGAAAATTTTTAATTCTTTTGAACAAAAAGCTATTATTTTCATCCTTTCTTATGGATTGTAATTTGTAACTCTTACATTACAAGAGAAGCCTTGAATATTTCATTATACACACTCTTGAGAGGAGATAGGTTGAATTTTTTAAGGGAGTGAACCTTATCAACAACCTGAAGTTGTTTTTATTTTGCTTTGAAATGGTTAGTCCAGTTATGCAATTTTTAATAATATTGTTTGAATTCATTAGAAGAAAATTCCTAATCACTTAGGAAGATGAAACATTTTCCTATCTTTTCTCTTTCATTGATGACCATTAGATCGCCTCTTGAAATTTTGAAAATTATAGTTTCTTATCAACTAATATCTTCAGAACAATTGCATTTCATATTTTAGTAGTTATGGTCTCTCAGAAATCCTGCCACAATGAGAATTATATGCACCATAAAAAAAAATCTCAATATAACCATACATTTTAAAATCCTGTTTGATTTTTTCTGCACATAAATTTTAATATATGAGGTTAGCAGTTAACAGTATTGATTAATTTGTTTTGTTTTGTTTTGTTTTCTTGAGAATCCATATACCATTACAGTACAGTATTGATCTTTGCCCAAAGCAAAATCAAGCAAATTGATTTCACAAGCCACAAAATCTATCATGATGTTAATATATTACTAATTGAAGAAGTGGTTAAATAAGTGAACTTCACAGTAAACTCAGGAGCTCAGTATGCTTCAAAACCCAAAACTTTGGTAAAAGAAATTGCACCAGCAAATTGAGTTTTAATACATTATCCATATATGACCTGGGTCAGTGTAAAGAACACAATATTTTCTCGGTGTCATAAATGCTCTGCCTCAAAGTGAGTGTAAACATGTGGAGTGTGACATTCCTAAACTTTGGCCAGAAACCATTGGAAACTTAGGTGACAGTGAATTTAAATTCCTACTATTTTCTCAGATTACATGTAGAGAAGCAACCTTTCTTTCCCCTCTCCTCAAAGATTAGCTGTCTAACTCATTTTTGTTGTCAGGTCATGGTAATGAACACTAAACAACATTTGATGCAGAATGATGGCCTTACAGATATTTTCCCTCATTCCTATCCTCCAATATATTCCTTTAGAAAATTTCTTCTGAAGATTCCCACACTTTCTGTTCTGCCTCATGCCAATATTTTAACTTATCTATTGCTTAACATTATTGACAAGGTAGGAGAAGCTGAGTAGGTTCACACAGCTGCTCTAATACAAAAATTGATAAACTAATATGTAAAGCCTGTGGTGCAGGAGGAATAACTTGTGTGTCCTTCCCAGACTCCTTATCTGCATGCTAATTCTATCGCTTGGGCAAAAAGTCAGAAAGTTTGTTTGTAAAGATCCTGTAACCTTCCTTGTTGCCTTGAGCAGCAGTGAAGAAGTTGACAGATTGCTGGTTCCTATTTGTAGTCAGCAAAACTCCTTTTATATCTCATTCTCTGCCAGAAGAGAAAAGGAAGCTACTCAGTCAAGAAGATATAGTACAGCATTCAGGAAAGCAGAAAAAGAAGTGAGAGACAAAGGGTGCTGATTGCCAGGGTTCGTTTTTCCCAAGGAATTGAGTACAGGCAGAAGTAAGTTAGAGCTCAGAATAGTCAGGGCATGTGAAGGAGAATCACAAAAAAGCACTACTTATATTGATAAAAACTCTCTGCAATTCATGTCAATTTCGCTTGCTGCAAAAGTGAATCTATTTTTGTCTTCTAAATACTGTGTGATTTTTTAAATCAAATGCTCATTTCAATTTTTAAATTTCTCTTTTTTTTTCATGTTTTTTAAAAATAAATCTTTTAACATCACTTTTATGCCTTCCTGACTTTTTGCATTTCTTTCCTTTTTTGCCCTGTAACTTTTAAAAGATCTTCTTTAGTTTCAGAAGCATTAGCCACTTTCAAAATTACAGTCCTTCACTATATTCTTTGTCACAGAAATAAAATAGAGGACTTCAGTCCTTGTTTAATAAAACCTCAGTTTCTAATCAGGATAAAAATCAGCAAAGAATCTGTTTCCACATCCTAAGGAATCTTAGACATATGTAGACAGTTTACTCTTAAATTTAGAACGCAAGAAAAAATTTATTTGCAGAACTAAAAAGATCAGAAGAGGCATCAGCAAAGGGAGGTTAAAGGAATTTATGCCCTTCTATATGCTGACAACCACTTGTGTTAGGCAAAATTTCTTTACCAAAAGGGGTGTCAAGCATTGGAACGGGCTTCCCAGGAAAGTGGTCAAGTCACTATCCCTAGATGTGTTTAAAAGATATATGAATGGGACACTTAGGAACATGGTTTAGTGGTGGACTTGCCTGCGCCAGATTTACAGTTGGATGTATTGATTTAAAGGTCTTTTTCAGCTTAAATGATTCTATGATTCTACCCCGTTTCCTTGTGTGTGCTGCTTGCTCCACTGAGACCCTGCAAATTAACAGACCTTCATTGACCTTGCCAATTAAAGGCATAAGACTTCTCTAACTGGCTAAGCCCTACATGATAGCAGTTTTTGCCTCTTCAGCTCTTGCTTTATTTAATTACCTCTGTCTCCTTGAGAGAGGTTTTCATAGCCAGATAACACAAGTCTATTTATTTGCTATTTTCTTTTTCTTTTCTGTTCTTCCCCATTTATAGGCCTCCAACTTTATTTAATGCATCTTGAATTTTAGATAAGTTCTTGTGTATGTGTTATCACTATGACTGAATTTCATGAAATGCATGTAATTTCAACAGAAAAGAGGCCAAGTCTGAAACACTGTAGATTAATACTGTTATCAGTTTAATTTGTGCTATAAGCTGTCATACATAGATAGATGTTATTTTTCTTTTATTTGTGTGCTAGTATATAGATGTTTATAATATAAAATAATATGAAATCAATATTTTAAACAATTGAAAATGGAGGAAAACCTTAAAATGGAGGAAAATTCACAACACACATGCAAAAAAAAATCAAATTTCTAAAAGGATTTTTAAGGAGTCTGTCTGTTCAATGAAAATGTAGAAGACAGAACAAACACTAAGCTGCTTACATTGCATTAAGTAACATTTAGTTTAGATATCAGAGAACCTTGTAGCAATTTCAAGCTTAGGGGAGCAGTGGAATTGCCTGGGGAAGTTGTGAAATCTTACATGGGTCTTTATAAATTCCATCCTGAGCATCTGCTAAAAGTCACATTAATATTGTTCATTCCTAGAGGCATACCTTGCACTAATGACCTCCTGAAGCCCCTTCTAGTTCTGTGTTATCCATGTCTATTTGGGGGAGAGAGAAGGGAGGGGAAGAGAAGGGAGGCGAGGCAATGAGAGGCAAGGTGAGGTGACCTACAGGAGTGGCTGCTTTGAGAAGCTTTCCTCATGCCCAACAGAACCAAATTCCAGGTGGATCCAAGACAGACCCGCTGCAAGGCTGAGCACATCAGTGATGGTGGCAGCAGCTCAGGGATAACTTATTTAAGAAAGGAGAAAAATGTTCCACAACAGCCTCCTGGAGAGAGCAGTGAGACACAGCCCT